CCTCTGTGTCTGTTTGTGGCCCGTGGGCCTTGCTTGCCAGGACTCTCTGCTGCTGCCTCCAAGAAATTCTCTGTTCAATATCTTGCGCTCAGTAACCACCTGGTGTATACATATATTTTTAAAAATGTATCATAGTTGACTTGTCCTCTCGCCTGCTAGGATGTCCGTTTCTGGAAATAAGGGCTTTGTTTTATCTACCATATTCCAATGACTGGAACAGTGCCTGACATGGAGTAGGTACTCCTGCATGTTGAATAAATGAAATGAATGTAAAGCTTTGTATTTCTTTGTGGCATTTATTTTTAAATACTGAAATAAAAATACTATTCAATTGTTAAAATGAAATAGTATGGTTTTATATTTTCCAGATGTTTTTAAGCTTTCTTCTTTATCCATGCCCCAAAGAACATGATGCTCCTATTAGTGAATTGTATCGCTGCAAGCTCTGTGGGCAGGTGGGGTGTGCATTTCCCAACTGAATGGTGACATTGCAGATCCATAACAGGGGAAATCAACTTTTAAGTTGATTTTACAACTTTTAAGAACACCAGCCAATAGACTGTCTTGATGGCTTAACTGCCAACAAACAAAGCTGAATGTAGTTGCAGAACAAGCAGGTTTCAGTGGAGGCATTCTTTCAAAACCGCACATCCAGCAGCTGGGAGACCTTTCAGATGCAGAAGGACGGACTGTGGCAGCCAGGAGTCCTCCTGGGAATGAAGGCATGACTCCCAGCCACTCCCTACTTGGTGTGGTTGAGAAATACCCCTAACAACCCCGCAATATACTGGATATCTATGCCACTTTTTTTTCCACAGCTCGAAATTTCCTAACATTAGTGATAAGTCAGCTGCTGATGGTGAAACTGCCAGTGTACTACTACTGACCTTATAAAGATGTTCCAAGGCTGCTATAAGGAGCTTGATGGCTTCCCACAGACTGTGCCACAGCAAAGTACACACAGTAATTTATTAAAATTGCTATAATCGGAATGTGGAAATGAATTTTCACAATTTAACTGAGATATAACTGAGAATTCACCTGTCTTGGGGGGGTAGTAATCAGATTAAATTTATTCATATGCAGTCAGTTCCAGTGAACACAAAAATATAAATAAGCCAAACCATATTTAGAAGGATGAAAAAGAATTTGAATAGTATGATGTGTGATGTATTTGAATAGTATTTGAATAGTGTGATGTTTATGGAACTCATTCCTGGGAAGGCTCACTTGAACAAATTTATGAAAGGTTTTTATTTCCTTCTTCCTCTTCTCCTGAAATGTATCTTTGCATAAATAAAAATGAAAATTTGACTTTATATTTGAAAGTTATCCCTGAAGGAGTTAGTAAAAACCAGCTAATCAAGCAACCAAGCCAAACCAAACTCCCCAGGTTTTCACAGCAGAAGGTCTGGGTTCAAGTCCACATTTTGTTAATGGGACACTTAACCTCTCTGGTTAAGCAAGTCACTTATCCATGCTGAAGCCTAGTTTCCTCAACAGTAAAAAGGGATTATTCATAATTTACCTATTCAAATAGTCTTAGAATCAAACAAGATAATGTGAAAAAATTTCGAAAGCTACTTTACAAAAGTAAGGGTTGTAATTTATTTCTTACAAGAAATAAAAAAATAGTTCCTCTTTATAAAAGGGAGCTGAGGCAGCTTATGATATATTTATATAAAATCAGAGAATAAGTACAAAATAAAGGTAGATTTTTGATCCACTTATTTACTGATGAGCACTTAGGTTGCTTCCAACACTTGGTTATTGTAAATTGTGCTGCCAACAATATTGGGTGCCTTGGTTCTTTTGGATTGGTTGGTGTTTTAGGACTCTGGGTGTAATCCCAGCAGTAAAATTGGAATACCATGCAGCAGAAAGAAAGAAGGAGCTCATACCCTTTGCAACAGCATGGATGGATCTGGAGAGCATTATGCTAAGTGAAATAAGCCAGGCAGTGAGGGACAAATGCCATATGATCTCACCTATAAGTGGAACCTAATCAACAAAACAAACAAGCAAGCAAAATATAATCAGAGACACTGAAATAAAGAACAAACTGACAGTAACCAGAGGAGAGTGGGGAGAGGGGTTATGGGGAAAAATAGGGGCAGGGTTGTCAAGGAACATGTATAAAGGACACATGGACAAAGCTAAAGGGGATAGGATCAAGGGTGGGAGGCTGGGATGGGTGGAGGGGGAGGGGTGGGGAGAAAATGGAGACAAACGTACTTCAACAACAATAAAAAAATAAAGGTAGAAAAATAAAATAACTCACCATTACATTTTTAATAGTTAGATATCGGTCACAAATTTGCCTCTAAATTCCAGTAGATAACAGACATAAATATTCAGTTACAATAGCCATGAGTGTGTCAGACAAAAACTAGCAATGTTTTGTGCTTATCATACTGAGGTACCAGTGGGGAGGGATTGGGGACTGTGGCATGCTCAAGTGTGAAAACTCAGGACAAACTATCTTGTGCTTCAGTTTTGAGTAAGCTACAGACATTTTTACATTAGAATACATATATATCATTAATTTAAATTTTTTGTTTGGGTATTTGCTATGTAGCAGATATTGCTCTGTGATCCCCAGTTCACAGTGAACCACAGTGTTTCCCACTGTGAACCCCAGTTCACAGTGGGAAACAAAAGACCCTTGATCTCACCAAGTTTATATTCTGGGCCAGAGCAGTGGTTTGCAACTGTATCAGGATGAATATCCTTTTTACTGTGCTAAAATGAAAGTCTCAGATAATCAACCTACATGTAATTAACAGTTAATACATCATCCTTTTATATAAAGGTGAAGTAAAAAGGATGTAATTTATAATAAAGTAATATTTATTTGAAAACATAAATAAATACCTAAGCATTTAAACAACTAAGGTATAATACAATAGGAAAGTACTTGCATCTTCTTAGAAAAATAAATTTGGATTAAAGAGAAGTAAAGACAATAATTAACTTAATGTTATCACTTTTTATACTTGATATTTTGAAATAAGGACTAAATAAGTGTATATGGACATCGATAGTACCATACCCATGAGTTCAACCATTACAGATACAGAATTTGTCACAGATATGTGTCTCAAACACCACAAACTGCATTGTCATCACTGACATGATTTTCTGACATGGCAAGTAACTTTTCCTAAACAAAACAGACCATAATATTCCTGGAAACTTCAGTGTATATTAAAGCTGGCTGAAAATATTTTTTATTTATGTGAAATAGAGTAGGTGCTCAGCTGAGATCATCACAAACAGGGTTTTCTCTGACCTCAAAGACCAGTGGGACACGGAAAAGTCATGCAGAGCACCGGGCAGCTGTTGGCTGTGCAGTCTCACTTCAGCCTCACTGGATATCCCTGGCTCTTGCCTCCAAAATACTGGCCCTGCTATCTCTTTAAAAACCAGAAAACTATCCCACAAATGCTCACTCAAAATACTCGCAGAAGATGGAATTCCTTTATTTGCAGCCTTGCAAAGTGCTGGGGCAAGGACGTTCTAGGCAAGGGGAAACTCCAAAGGCGGCCGGCTAGGTGGGACAATACTTAGGATGTTTAAGGAACAGTAAGAAGAACTTTGTGGTTGGAGCTAGGTCACAAAGGTGGAAAGCATTGAACTTTTAGGGCACAGAGAGGAGGAGAAATTTCCTAATTATTTTTATGAGGTGTAGAAAGACTGATACTAATAGTCCAACATAAACTACATTTACAAAGACTGTGTGGTCCCTGATCATTTTGAAGGGGTGTGTTTCCAGTAAAAGGAATTATCTTGTCCATGACTTATGATGGACTCTTGGGAGAATGTTCAGGAAGCACATACGATGTTTTGTATCAGGTCCCAGCTCCACCACTGTGTCAGATTCTGGGTGGACAAGGCTCTGAAACTCCTCTTCTCTTTCTCCTGTGCTGCCTTGGTATTCCCTGCCAAGAACAAGCAAACTTCTTCCTTGGAATTTAGAGATTCCCCTCCTCCTCAAAAGAAGTTTTGACAAGGATTCACTCATTGGAGGTAAAATGACCTTAATTGCTTTTCTGATTACAAAATATACATGCATCATTCCAGGAAATTTTTTTGCTTTCTAAAATTCACATAAAGCCATACCTAAACCAGCAAATGGAGGAAGGTGGTTATGAAGATAGATTGAAGTGGGTATCTGATTCTTTATTCAACTCTTTCTTATGTCTTACTCTGAGCACTCACTGAGATGACTGGATTTGAATTTTGTACTTCAGTATAGAGTTGGTACCTCATTTGTCCTTTTGAAAAATTGCGCATCAGACCACCGATTCCTAGGTGGGGAAAATCCTGAGCAGTGAAAAACAACTCACAGACTTATGGTGAAGGACTGAAAATTTCAGTCTGATACAAAATATAGAACTCAAATTCAAGGGAGAGAGTACTTTTCCAAAAGTACAAATAGAAAAGCCGAATCGGGGCTCTTTCCCGGCTCTTTATTGTTCTTACAACGCTATCAACACTCCTGTGGCTAAGTGCTCTTACCTAGTTTTTAAATGTCTCTCCACTTGCAGATGCTGTCTGCTCGCTTTATTTCACTACCTACTTCTCCCAGTCTTGGCAGCGCCCCCAGGTTCAAGGCACACTTCGAAGGGCGGATAGGGATTTGCCTATTCAGACCCGCCGGGTCTCGGTAGAGACTTCCATTGACATTTTTGTAGAGAAAGCTTACGTCTGCTGACCGACGAGGGTAGGGAACTTCAGCCACCCTCGCCCCAGGGCGTGGCGGAGACACCCCCGTACAATCAGTCCACGGCCGTCCCTGGAATGTGCTTAAGGTGGGGCGAGGATCGACTCCCACTTAGTCTAGGGTGCGAGTGGGAGCACAGCTTCTCCAGCACCAGCGCTTCAAAGAAACACCTGCCCCGCCCCTACCCGGTGCGTTCCTGCGGCCCCGCCCTGCAGGCTCCCCTCACGCGCTGCAGCGCCGCCCAATCAGCGCCCGCTGTGCGCAGGCTCGGGATTCAAACTGCAGCTCGGTTGGGTAGCGGGGTTTAGCAGTGTTGGGGCCGCAGGCAGCCACGGTGTGCGGGACATGGATCACCGCATCGTGGGGCCCGGCCCATACCGGGCCACCAAGCTGGTAAGTGAGCATGAGGGGCCCTGGGTAATGCCTCCAGCTCCAGGATTCCCCGGCAGTCCTGCCGACTGCTCAGTGCTCAGCCTTCGTTTCTCCGGGGCTGGCGGGCCAGGGTTTGGAGGCGGGACGTGTTTGGGCCGGGGCTGGCGTTTTCGGATGGAGTTCAAAGAAAGGATGGCAGGGCCCGGAGCCCAGGCAGTCGGGGGAACACCTTCGTTCCCGAGGGCTTGGCCGTGTTTCTGGCAATCAAGGGCACCTCCCAATTTGAGGAGCCCGTAAGACCAGGTGACCCTCCCCACCCCTGCTCCTCTTTGTCTACGTAATCCCACGCCTACTTCCGGGAGAGGAAAAACCCTGTTCGTTACTTTAAGGCCACCCGCCCCCTCGCCGCAGTCAGGGAAGGGTGTGTCTCGGTCCTGAGTGTCTCTGTGGTGATCCTTGAGGTTCTTTCTAACGGTGCCCAGAACAGAGGTGGGTGGTTCTGGCCACATTTCCCGTCCCTGGCGTTTCTGTTTTTGTCATCACCGACAAAAATGAGGGTTTGGCCTGAGTGATTGGTCTGAGAGCCTTTGTAGACCCTGGTGGTCCGAGGTGCTGCCATTTCTCCTGGGAGAAGAGCTTGGTATTCAGAGTTCTGAGGGTACTTATTTGATTTCCTTGTGACCTGGAACAAGTAATTTTAGTGATGTCTGTTTCAAAGGATTAGCATAGTGGGATAACTAGTGCAATTTGGTATGGCCATGGCAGACATTTAGACAGCTTTCTGTGAGTGCATAGGGGTAATTTGGGAGGAAGGGACTTCCCTCCTTGATCTGTCAACCACTTCTGGTCACGCTTTAACTTGAGAATTAGTCTCCCTCAATAAACCCTAATGGATATCCAGGAAAAGATGGGAATTAAGTTCCAAACTCTCATTCAACTAGACTTATATATGGAAGAGATGAGGACAGTGGGACAATGGGAAATATCACTAGGGTTTCCTTTTCTTTCTAGAGCCAGTCACACCAGGGTTGGTGGGGTCAAGCCAGAGCTAAGAAAGCCAGCTTGTCGGAGAAATCAGGGTTGTGGCAAATGGCTCTTTTTTTTTTTTTTTTTTTGGCTCATAATCCACTTTGAGAATCTTATCTTCTCTTTCCAGAAAAGTGCACATGCCTCATAATCATGAAATTTTATATATGATTTCAGGGGACTTGGGGAGTCTGTGGCATTGTTTCATTTGGCCTTACCATTTACTCCCCCACAATTTTGTGGGTCAGCAATCTGGCCTGGGCTTTTGTCAGTGTTTCTTCTGTTGGTGCCACTCATGTGCCACAATCATCTATCTGGTGACTGGCCTAGGTCTAGGATGGCTGCTTGACTTGGTTCTGGCTGTTGGCAGGGCCAAGTGTGTTTACATAGAGTATAGTGGCTCCAACACAACTAAAAGAAAATTTCTGCTTGTAACTTCGTTGGTCAGAGCAAGTCAAACAGCTAATCCCAGATTGTAGGAATTCAGCTCCACTTCTTTTCCTTTTTTTAAATTAAAAAGTTCTTTTCAATTATAGTTGACATGCAATATCATATTAGTTTTGGGTGTACGGCATAGTGGTTGGACATTTGTGTAACATATGAGGTGATCTTCCCCCCCCCCACCCCCCGCCATAAGTCTAGCACCTACCTGACATCATACAGTTATTACAGTGTCACTGACTATATTCCCTGTTCAGCTCCACTTCTTTATGGACAGAATTGCGGTCACATCACAGAGGTCCCTGTGAACAGGATGGGAGGAGTGATTGCATTTATCTTTTTAAAAAATTATACTTATTTATTTTTAGAAAGAGGGGAAGGGAGGGAGAAAGAGAGGGAGAAAAACATCAATGTGTAAGAGAAGCATCCATAGATCAGATGCCTCTTGCATGCCCCCAGCAGCGGACCGGGCCCAGAACCCCATCATGTTCTGGGAATCTAATCAGTGACATTTTTTTGGTTTGCAGAACAGCAACACCTAATGCACTGAGCTGCACCAGTCTGGGCTGATTGCATTTGTCTTAGCAAAAATCTACCACAGACACCCCAGAATGATTCATTTAAAAAATTAACAAATACAAATGTAGGTTTTCCGTTGGGCTAGCTTCTAAGAGGTATGAATGGTGGTGGTAGGGAACAAATAGGGTGTTTTAAAAACAATGTTTTCATATCTGCTTCTGCTTTACCATCGTCTCTGCCATTTCAAACCATCTGGGCTCAGGGCTATAGGTAGTTCCAATGTTAGGGACGAACTAGAGATTGTGCTTTATCAGGGTCCTTCAAACACTTTGCTCTCCTTTGTGGAAGGAAAATAACATCCTCCCCTCATCCCAATCTATTCACATCATTTATGCAAGGGAAACAGAGGGCTCTCGGTATTGGCATAACTAGTTTTCATTCTTTCTGCTTTATACTAAAAAAAACAATACATCATAATTGGAACTGTTTTTTAAATCTCACTCACAGAAATGTATGAAGTACATTTTTTTATAGATGCAGAGTGCCTATGCATTAGCACTTGATTCTGAGCCACACTACAATATTATCAAAGGAATTGATTTAAAAAAAAAAGTACTCTCTCCAGAAGTCTTGGGTCCCCAAGAAGTGATTTGCAAGCCAAATTTAGCCAAAACTGATAAAGTTAAGTGGGAAGTTATATTATGTGAATAATTAATGAAAACACCTCAGTTTCACCTGAATTTCCTAGGTAGTCAATCCAGTTCTAAACTTTATTCTATTTGAGAAACTTGATCTTAAAGTAAGATTTTGAAAACACAGAAACAATAGCCACTTTTTAAAAAAAATATTTATTTATTTTTAGAAGAAGAGGGAATGGAAGGAGAAAGAGAGGGAGAGAAACATCAATGTATGGTTGCCTCTCGAGTGTCCCCCACCAGGGAGCTGGCCTGCAACTCAGGCATGTGTCCTGACTGGGAATTGAACTAGCGACCCTTTGCTTTGCAGTTTGGCACTCAATCCACTGAGCCACACCAGCCAGGCAATAGCCATTTTTTAAAGTGAGAATTCTTGCTTTGTCGGTGACCTCACTCTCATTACAGGTGCTTTCCCCCCCAGCTGTAAACTCTATAAATGTTTCCCTGGGCAAAATTCAGTTGTCCCTCAAGGCTTTTACCAGGTAAATTATAAAGCTTGTGATAGCTATCTCTTTACTTTCCTCCCACTTTCAGCTTACCATTTCCTCTTTCTCCCAACATTACCCTCAACCTAATCTCCAGGAAAACCTTTGGAAAATCTGTTGGCGTACAAAGAGCAGGCCTTTACTTGATCCTTTTATGGCTCACTCTGCTTTCTCAGACCACATACAGCTCCATTTTCTAAAGCACCCAAGTCTTATCTAAAAATAACTTTTTATGACTAGGTAAATTTTTATGCCAAAAGTCAGATGACAGACTTATAAGTCAATTCATGATGAATATGGAAGCTAATTAGCAACTTACTCATCATCAGGGAAATAGCTTTCATTTTTGTAACCCACATACATAAATGGTTAATTATTTTAAAAGAAATGAGAAAAAATTGCTTTTACTGAAAATTGCTTAAATCTACTGATCCTTTCTTTGAGTTTAGTTCTGAGTTATCTATATCATCTGATGCAATTGGTAAACTGTAAAAGACTTACAGACTGATCATCGAATCAGAGAGTTAGAATGTACTCCAAAGATTGTCTAGTCCAATGCCCTCATTTGACTGAGGCCTAAGGGTGAACTGACTTGATCAAGTTCATACTGCTGGTATGTGGCAAGTATAACCCAACCTAGAATTTTGTTGTCTGATTTCCTTGCCCAGGTGCTATATTATAATACTATAGCACCACTGTCATAATATTTTTGATGCTAAGAAGTAAGGGAGTGGAGTAAATATTCTGGAGGAAGAAACAGGAAGCGCATTTCAGCATTCAGGGTTGTATTTTTATAGTGTGGTGTATGATGTTAATTGAAGCTAAAACAGTTGTGCTGTATGATTCTTTTATCTCCTATACTGGGGGTTTGAAATAAATAAGTGAAACATAAATAGTTTTTTAAGCATAAAATAAATCTGTTTGTTCCCTTCGCTATAGAGATTATTTCCTTAGATGTAATGTACCGTGGAAGAATATCACATTCTCAAGCTCTATCGTGTTCTTTGTTGACACAGGATATTTTCTTCCTAAATGCAAGTGAGAATGGTTAATTAGTTTAAAGATAACTTAATTTTTTTTCTTTCTTGGCAGAATAGCCAAATAACTACTTATATTTGGAAATAAGTCGGTACAGAGACCATGGTCCTCGCTAGGTTTTGAAGTTATAGTTGAAACACTGGATTGAGTAAATATAAACTGTAACGATAAATACCATGAAAAATCACAATAAATAAATTCAAATTTCTTTTTGTAAACTTCCTATTTAAGAAGAGATATGAACCTTTGAAGAGGATATCTTATAACACTTTTAGTGTGAGATGAAAATCAGCTGTCAGGAGGACAGCTAAAAATCCAATCAGCATCCTAATAGATATTTTTTTTTCTCTGTGAGGACTGTATTCAATTGAAGGCTCATACACAAGAGTGAAAATGCAAGAATCCAAAAAATTTTTTAAAGACCATAGGTGCCTTGAAATAGACAAATATCTCAGTGGGATAGAAAAAGAGAGTTCCATATTCCATATCAAGAAAGGTAATGTCTGAGGTGACGATGTTTCAGTTCAGTGAGAAAAGGGTGGTAGAACTAGCTCTCCATCTGGAAGAAAATCTCCATCTGGAGGACAATTAGAGCTCTCCTACCTCCCACCATAAAAATTTCAGTTGAAGTTTCAAATATTAAAATAAAATCCCTCTATAATATTAAAAGAAAATTTTGATAAATATTTTTAACATCTCAGGATGAGGAAACTCTTAAGAGAGTAAACCCTGAAACCATAAAGAAAAAAATTTATATATTTTTCCTTAAAACAATGACATCGTAAGCAACAAAACCTTCCCAAAGCTAGAGACCACA